GACCGAGTACGGCCTGCGTACTCCAGATCTACGTCCTACATAGAGTATTGATTGGCTTTTACGGGACAACACAGAGCTACGCGTTGCGTACCTATATGTATGCCCTACATATTCATGCTGAAACCAAACTTCCATTAAGTGCTTAATACATAAAGTTAACCATCAAATTCTCATATCTGGCTCCTAATAGCTCCATAATGGATAAAGTTTCCAACTTTATCCATTAGGATAGTCCGAACAACCAAGATCTAGTCTTTAAGTCTCAAAGGGACCAAAATGCATCTTTCTCAACTTAATCCATTAAGTCCAAGTCTCTAACCTTTAGATCTGAATCAATATGATGTTTAGATGGATAAAGTTTCCAACTTTATCCATAACAAGATCACAAACTTTCAAGATCTAAACTTTATGCACTGAAATGACCAAAAATACTAACACAACTTGCATGGCTTAATAAACAAGCACCAAAGCACAAGTTTCCTAGCCTAATAAGTCCCAAGAGTGTTCCTTATAGCTCAAAAGGCGTCGGAGTTGCTCAACTCCCAAACACAAGCTCAAAGGACCAAAAAGTGGCAATTATGACAAATAACTATACCTAAGAAATCAATGCGCAAGATAGAAGCTTTTTTACTCACAGTAGTCCAAGAATGATATAACCTTGTTGGATCTATACTTGAACCCTTCTTCAATACACTTTGCCACCACCTTGCTCTTCAAGATTCAACCTTACAATGGAGAAATAAGCTCATAAATGATGTCAAGGCTCAAAGACAAGTAAGAGGAGGCTATGGTTTCTCAAGAAATGGTCTTATGTGATGGAGGATCGTAATGAGAGGGTTTCCCACAAGTTAGAGCCCTTAAATAGGGCTCAAGACTGAAGAATTAGGGTTTTGATCTACCCAGATTACGCCCTGCGTAACTCATTAAAAACGTGTCCAAAATCAGCAAGTTACGCCCTGCGTAACTTTTAGTTACGCCATGTGTAATCCAAAAGTTCCCAATTTCCATTTCAACTTCAAACATCCATAACTTCTTCGTTTCAACTCCGTTTTCGGCGTTCTTTATATGCACATAAAGGTATCGATGAGCCCCACAATCATATCTAGTTATCTTTAGCTTACCACATATCGAAATAAAACCATAACCCATGCAAGAAGCCTGATATATAACTTTTCCCATATTACCCTTTTCTTCGAAACGCAAATTCGAGGGTTTGAAACACTTAACCAAGCATTGCCATCATCCTATAGGGTCTAAGATTTATTCCCTTGAAGTCCAATACATTTACTCAATTCAATTACGGCCCGTTATACTGATAAAAGAAACATCCAAAACTAGGTGTTAGAACTCTCCCCCGCTTAAATTAGATTTCGTCCTTGTAATCAGTCTTGGTTAGAATCTCTAAAACAACGCCAACATATTCCATAAGTTCCCTCTAACCATTTTGAAATTAAGGCATCTTATAAAGAAAACTCGAGAGAATACTCAGAAACCCATATGTTACACGAAAAAAAAAAAAAACAAGTAAAATGTATTCCAGAATCATAGTCCGGAATCATACTCTAGAATTCCGGAGAATGTGGTTACTTTACAAAAACTAAAAAAAAAAACTTTGGGTCAAATTTGTCAAAAAGGTCATTTATAAGGGTTAAATTACTCAAATTCCCCTAAAAAATGCTATGTTATTTATTTATAGCCTATGAATTGTTATTTAATTAAACAAAATAATATTATAAAAATCTAAACAATTTTGTTTGTTAAAAGTATATAATCATAACTCAAAATCCTAATCATATAGTACTACATAAGATTTCTCTGTCCATCTTTTGTTAAAAATCTTATGCATGACATAATAGCTTTGTTAAAAAAAATTATACAGAATAAAAAGCTTACAAAAATTCAAGGGTACGATATATAAAATAACTTCGTTTATTTCAAAGTTAGCTTTTTATGTTAATTATTAATGGTTAATTTTGGTATATGATAATTGTTATTTTATAATTATAATTTTGTGATAACTTTTTCAAAGTAAATGTGTTTAATGTTTATATTGTTTTGTCTTTAAAGTTTTGATTTCGTCCCCTCCCCTAATGGTCGTGTTCCGCCTTTGGCTCTTGGGTGGAAAATCCTCTTACGAGTATCCCTTTGTAATTGGTTGTTTAGTTCTCTACCTCCTAGCTAGGGTCCTTTTTTAATTAAAATGGTTCTTGTTGTTAAAAAAAAACAGACAAAACCAGGAATATAAAGATGATAAAGAGAAATGGGAACAAAAATTAAAGTTCAATGACAGTAATTATTTATGTTTCTAGTAATATTCTATATAAATATATAAAACTAAATTACAAATTTGGATCCCTTTATTTAATCGCTTTTTTGTTTAGGTTTTAAAAAGATTTTCTTTTTTAATTATGCTTTTAAATTTGTTTTAATATATCATTTTTGCCGTTGAAGCAAAATCGCAAATTGATACTTTATGTCCCTACAAAAATGCTAAACTCAAAGATCGATCAAATTATGTAATTTCGTGAAGATATAATATTACTCGAATAGAGCATAGTGAATCTTGTATCCATGTAGTCAACTTATGGCAGCTTGTAGCACTTTTTTCAAAAGATCGATAGCTTCCCATGGTAAAACGTTTCCCTTCGATCCTGTATATTATGGCAGCTATTTTGTCTATATATAGACTTCTTAGAATGTGAATAATCAAAACCTCCATCTATCCTATAGAGAGAATCCTTCAAATGTCAGTGCCTGTAACCTCCGATATTCCTAGGTCAATGGACACTCAACCAACTGCTGCAGATAATGAACGGAGAAAGGCTATGTCCTTAATTATTAACAGATACAAGGATAGGTTGACAACTTTGCCAAAGGAGAAAGGTTGGTTAACAGAAAACCTACGCCTGTATGAGGGTTTTTGGCAAGAGTCGATCCGGGTTATCTCGGTTGTAACTCTAATGGTCTCGCAGGACAGTTTTCAAGCTCAACCAACTGACATCTATGTGGCCACACTGCAAAAAGCTGGGACAACGTGGTTAAAGGCGCTTGCATTCGCTATAGTGAACAGAACCAGGTACAAAAGCAGTTCTCTTTCATCTCACCCTCTACAAACTCTTAACCCACATAAATGCGTTCCTTACATTGAGATGGAAAGTTTACGAACCATTCCCAGTTATGCCGATGGACAATCACCTCGTCTATTTTCTACCCATATACCTTACACTTCATTGCCTCAATCCATTCTTGATAATGAGTGTCGTGTAGTTTACATGTGCAGAAACCCAAAAGATGTTTTTGTTTCTTTGTTTCATTATGCAAACAAGCTGAGAGATAAATCTCTTGGTCAAATGACATTCCAGGAGGCGTTTGAGATGTTTAGTAATGGTTTGATTCCAGGTGGACCTTATTGGGATCATGTGAAAGGGTACTACAAGGCTGCTATGGAGCGCCCATCAAAGATTCTATTTTTAACATACGAGGACATGCAAAAGGATACTGTGAATAATGTAAAGCGTCTGGCAGAGTTCATGGGATATCCTTTTACGGAGGAGGAAGAGATCAAAGGTGTTGTGCAAGAAATTGTCGCACTATGCAGTTTTGAAAATATGAGAGAGGTTAATAAGCATGGGATACTTGCTGAGGGTGTTCGTAATGATGTTTTCTTTAGGGAAGGGAAAACTGGAGATTGGACCAACCATCTTACAAATGAAATGAGCCAAATTTTGGATCAAATCACCAAAGAAAAGTTTGATGGTTTGGATATCTCCTTCTAAGTGGCTACATGAGAAACTCATTTAAGGAATAATGGATAGCTAAAGTTTTCACGTAGTTTTATATATCTTGTACCAATAAAATATCCGAATACTTATTACTTCAAGTGCTAATAAATATTGTTGCTAAAAACATATTCAACTTTCCCTTTTCTTCTTTTAGAGATAGTGCGGCTACAAAGAAACAAGAATACACATCATGTTCTGTCAGCAACTAGTGTTAAACTGATCCAAAAGCCTTAACGTTTGTTTTTGTATTATATACACCATTAGGCATCGTAATTCAAAGTGTCTAGACCAAAAATATAACAAAATATATACCAAAAATATTATAACCTACCTTATAAAATATGAAAGACCTACCTTCTAGTATTTGGCAAATAATAATAATAATAATAATAATAATAATAATAATAATAATAGATAGATAGATAGATAGATAGATATTGAAACCTATTTTTATAGTGTTGGACAAAAAAAAAGAGGGAAAAAAGAAGTATAAACTATAGACAATAAAAGACATAATATTTGGTGGTACGAAGGAGTCCCAAGTCGACTCCAAAAAGAATACGGTGAGAGGTTTTCATTAGTGAACCAAGTGGTTTTCTATTCTAGATTCGTTACTGAGTAGAGTCATTGTAACGGTCTAGGCGGATGTACTTTGCAATAACTTAGTAAATTGTAATTTTCAATTTATAATTTTTGGAAAGTGTACAAATCATGGCAGGAAATCCAATATATAAGTCATGAATGGTGTTTTTGAAGTTATGATACGGAGTAGGACGATGATGACCTCTTTAAATTATAAATCAACCATGTTAATGATGTGATTTAGTATGTAAATTAGGGTTTATAAGTAGTAGTTGAATGTAATATAATCGCATTAGTTTGTTGGAATTGGATTAGAAGAGGTTAGGGTTGAATTGGACATGTTTTAGAGGCTCAAAAAAAACATTTGTAATTGTATTGTTAAACGCGCCATTCAATCGAGTGGAATCTAAGGCATAATACCATTCGACCCTCATTTGATGATAAATATTTAACCAAACATCACTAGGAGTTAGGACTTAGGACTTGTCCTTTTGGGGATTTTTCTTCCATTTCATACATTGAGTTTTATACACGTCTTGTTTATGTTATGATGTTAACACACACACACACGTCCCACCCTCACGTTCGGCCTATGAGTAGACAAGTACTATGTAGCAATTTTAATTGTTGCCAAATGCCAGCACTAAAACCCAATTAAATTGCAATACATTGTTCTTTGAATCAATTTGGAACCATTTCACCTTACAACAAGCATGCTTCTGACTCCTTTCATCAAAATTCATTGAACTAATATAATATTTAACTATTTTTTACTCATTTTATTTCGAAGCTAAATCACTATCAGCCTTCTGTAATGCTCTTGTTAGATGAGTTATACGATAACGAAGTTTTGCATTTTCTTCACTAGCCTTTTGCGCCTCCTTCAAAGCCTGGATTATAGTTATAAAAAAAATGACAAGATTATATACTCTTTGATTGATAAATACTTATTACTTTTTAGAGAGCTTTTCTATATAAAATACGTGTCAAATAAAACATTGCAGTTTTTTAAGATGAAGGTAGTATAGTACTACAACAGTTCACCTTTTCTTTTTCATCTTCTAACATTCTTTGCAGTTGAGCTACTTTATTTAATAGTTCCTCGTTTCCAGTGTCTGCAACTACCAAATCCCATAAAAAGGAAACAGGTAAAATGTTGGAATCAAATGATATATTATAGTTATTAGTTAATTAGTTATAAAAGTATTTATAAACTATTCTATAACACCAAATCACCAATGTTTTGTTAAAAATCAAAATACTAATTACTTATTTTTGTTATTTTCCAAAACTAAACTAAAACTATTTTCTATTATAAACTTATTTCAAGATTTCATGGTATTTTACTTGAGGGAAAATAACATAAAAATAAAAGCCACTATATTTTCACATTTTTGTGGTTAACTATTGTATTCACTCCATTCCATTTCTTTGTAATTCCATTCCATCATATTAAACAGGCGGGGCTTTATAAACTAACTTGAGTAAGAAACTAAAGAACCAACCTTTTCTTGTAGAAAAAGCAGCTTCAAGTCTTGCCAAACGCTCCTTTAGATTAAACACAAGCTAATTAGATAATTCTATTCAATTATGTTCAAAGGCTAAAATAACACATTAATATGCATGCTTGAAGACAGAGTATGTAATATAATATAATGCATATAGCAGTATTGATCACAGATAGTGCCCTAATACAATAAAAGATGCTTCAATCATGTAAATTCCTTCATTTAGGGCTCCAAGTTTGGTATTTTCGGTTTTATTTAGTGAAAACATTCAAATGTATCAGTATTTTTGCATTTTGAGGTTAATCCAAGTGAAATTATATTCGAGGCTAAACACAAACCCTAAACCCTAATAAGTATGATGTAGCAGGACTCGTTCCTAGGGTGTATATTTACGCATACATACAATCCAAATTCTTATGTAAATGAATACATACTAAGAGCTGATAACAAAATCTGAGACTTTCTTTGAATTTATGCAGAAAAAGATCTTATTAGCTTATAAAGCTACTTATTAAAACGATGTATTAATTGAATAGAAGTGAAGGATTACGGCTAACCTCTGCCTCAGAAGCTCTTTGATAAAAGGGTTTTAGGGCTTCTTGAAGATCATTTGATGCCGCCATCACTCTCTGCCTCACAACCACATCAAAAAGACAAAAACCTTAAGCCACAAGCAGGGTAGAAATTTACCCTTTCTAATTAGTTTCCATTTTAGTCCCTGAGTTATACATCTTTCTACAGGTTTAGTCCTAGTTTTGAGATACTGATATGACTGGTCCTCATGATTTCAAATTCCATAAGCTTTGGTCTCTTAAAGTCTTCATTCTTTACCATTTATATGGCTCCATAACCATTAAATGCATGTAAAAAGATCGACATAACCCTTTTTATCCGCTTACTTATTTTATATTTTCTTAATTTTATATTTATTTTTCTAATTAGTTAAAAAGCCCCTACTTACCCCACACCATCCAACTGGATATGAAATTAAAATACTTGTATGATTTTGTTCGAAATTTCAATTTTGAATCTTTCAAGTACATTTCAAAACGTTTGCTTTCAAATAATTTATCAATATTATTTTGGTGGATGTGATTAGATGTAAAATCTATGGTAAAATTGAATGGATATTTTATGTATCCAATTTGATATATTAGATATCCAATAGTAAATAGTCAATGGATAAAAATGATTCAATTCAACCTCCGATTGGATTAATACAACTCAGTTGGTCATAGTTAATTGTATTAGGACAACTGATAATATATAGGGGAAATGACACATATACCCTACAAAGTTTCTACCGTTGGTCGATTCAGTTCCTAAAGTTAAATTTTGGTTTTATAGGGTATTGTTTCCTTTCAGATGAGTTGGTTTTCCCATCAAGTACGGAAGTGTCGATTGAAGTCGATTTTATGAGTTTTGGTTTAAATGATACCCGAACTTATTGTTTGGCTTTATCGGGGCATAATGTGAGTTTTTTTGTCTAAATGGTCACAGTCGCATGGTGTATCAGCTATTAAAACTTTAAATCAACTAAAACAGCAAGTCGTAACCGACCTTATACCGCCGTAAAGCCAAAAAATAACTTTAGAGACTGAATCAACCAACCTTAAAAAACTTTGTATGACATTTGTGTCATTTTCCCATAATATATATTATCTAAGATTGTGTTAATCGGGGCTTCCCATAATCGATGTTGGGCAGAAATCATAGAATGCAAAAATATCAAAAAATCAAAAAATCAAAAATCAAACATAGTACACAACCAAGCCGGCTGGCAAAGAATTCTCACAACCATGACTTTGCCCCTTAGCATACTTAAGTAGATTGTGAGATTTTTTTTCTTTCTGTTAATTGACTAAATTTTTCATAAAATACAAGATAAGGTAACAACCCTAAAAATTTGAATGATTATTAGTGTATGTAAATTCTAATATAGAAAGGTATTTTGGTCAAAACAGTAAAAAAAAATTATGAAATCTTGAATGCCAAGTTCAATTGATATATATTGTATGTGTTAATATGTTTCTTAGAAGTTGTGCTTATGATCATTAGAAGTGGATTTAAATCGTTGATTGTGTAATTTTGGTTGTAAGGCTAAAAATAGAAGATTTGCTAAGAACGAATAATCCAAGAGGCCTTTTGACTTAGAACGGTGAAGTACATTGCTATCGCAAATATAGGTAATGTACAATGTGAATGTGACACATACAAAAGAATGATGTTGAACTGAGGGTAACGAGTACACTGCGTACATATTGGATGACGCGACGCAACTTAAACAGTATAAGACACATACACGTGGGTTGCGTGACGCATAACCCGACGTGATAAGATCCTTATCAACTTTTTGATTTGGTCATTTGTTCTTCTCATATCATCTTGAGAGGCAGAAAAAGAGGGACGTTTTTTTTTAGGGTTTAGGCCAAAAACTCTGATACAACCATAGGATTTCAAGGATAAGCAAGAATCCGGTCATTTAATTAGATTAAGGAAACTCCTCTCTCCTCTAGTTAAGTTTTAATCAGGCCCGACCCAATAAGGTGGGCAACCTGGGTGACGGCCCCAAGCCTAATTAAGATTTGGGGCCCCAAAATTAATTCTGTTTAATATTGTATATATATACGTTTTGTTAATAATGTACAAAACATGTAGTAGCTAAGTTGGTTAGAGATATTTTATGTAGCCGCCTCTCTTTATCGATAGACGCATGTTCGATTCCAGTTATTAGCTTTTGCTTTCATGTGGCCTTTTTTTTTCTTTTTAATTTTTTTTATTTAAGTAAACGACTATTACTAACCTGTCTTATATTTGAATCATACGCCACTTTATTGAATTTGAATTCAAATTACAAAAATGCTCTTTTATTTTATTTTTTGTTATTCACAAATCATCCAAATTATAAAAAGTCTATTGATTTTTTTTTGTTTTTTGACAAACAATCCAAAGATTCATTTCATTTAAAATTTAGATGTTTTTATTGCCAATTACTATTTGTAATGTTTCCGTTTATATATGAGATTTTCTATCTTGCACCGTCTTTTATCGTATACTAATTAATTATTGTGGATTTGTTAATAAAAATCTTAGTAACATATTGTTTAGACGGGACATCTTTAAGTTTACTTTTTACTTTACAATTTTCACCAACATTAGATTTTTTTTGTTTTTTTTTTCCAAAACCAACTCGGCGGTTTTTCAAAATGGTTCGGTTTTTCAGTCATTCGATTGTTTAATTTTGTTTTGTTATTATTTTTTAACGTACATCCTTTAAACACACTTCAATTTTTTTCAATATATATATATATATATATATATATATATATATATATATATATATATGGTTAATAATTTTTGAAGGGCCACATTTTTTTATTTTTGCCCTGAGCCTCAAATCAACATGGACCGCCCTGGTTTTAATGTCCACTAATAATGAAGTTTAAAGAATAATAAAACTTGGTTCAAATGACTTGATTCCATGTAATTATAAGTTTCGTTATCATGATTCTAAGTTTCCGGTAAATTTATGGTTGAATCCATGAATTTGAAAATGATGATTCAAACCTAATTTGATGATTTGTTAGATAAGTGAAATTAAGCTCATATCTTAATAGATTAAACACATATGGATCCGGATTAAGCTCTTTATAAAATTAGACAAGTTATTAAGAGCTTAATATGCTATTTAAATAGGTTTTGGCAAAGGAGAATTAGTCGAGCGTGTCAAATGAAGAATAGAAGTCAAAATGGTCGTTGGTTTTTACTAACTAGCAATTACATGTGGTTTTTTCCCAATGGGATACATGGCTTAGTTATGAGTTGTAACTCTATAGTTCAATACAAAATCATTCGATTTCTACAAAACAGCCCTTATTAGTTTTTTTAAAAGTCTCAAGTCTCAACAAACACTAAAATTGCAATAAGCTTATACACACCAATAATGGTTCAACACAACACGGCATCATTTAGTTTTACCAAACAGACCCTTAAGATTATTAGCTATTTTAAGAGTTTCATCAAACCCTAAATTACAATAAACTCAAAAAAAAAAAAAAAAAAAAAAAAAAAAAAAAAAAAAAAACTTGACCCTTAAGATTATTTGCTATTTTAAGAGTTTCATCAAACCCTAAATTACAATAAACTCAAAAATATAAACTTACATTTACGCATGCCTAATTTGGGGATATTGTATTTTTTCACCAAATAAAACGATACACGTTCTTTCAATAATTATGCAACAATCAAATAATGTTTTATTAGCAACAACCAAAATGCATTCAAAATCCCTTATCTCACTCAAAAAGAAAAATCGAAGTTTTCATATGCACCCTTTCATACACATCCTGAGAAAAAAACTATTTTCAAAACTCAAACCTACAAACTTTTGCAACTTTACGAATATACCCTTTAGGTCGATCATTAAGAAGTTGTGAAACATTTTATTAGAAACCAAAACATCACAAAGAAAATTGGAAATACATGGAACATTAAAGAAAAAAACAAGCAAGGTTGATTTACCAAAGGAACTCAAACCTAATTTTAAACAAGATTGTTGTAGATACAAACTCTAAGCAATGAGAAAGGGCAAAACGGTCAACATGAACGCTTCATATGTGAACGTCGCATTCCCCGTGTATGCCGTGTCCTTCTCCTTGAACTTTTCCGTTAGTCCCTGAAATCACCAACAAACACACCATATAAACAACGATTAATTTTTGCAATTTTGGTCCAAAAAGTATTAGTCATTTAATTTTGAACAAAACGTTACAAAACAAAACTCAAATAAGAAACAAAACTGAAATAGAAAAAGAAAGTCGGCCTAAGTTGGATACATACCTTAACAGTCAAGCAACATCTGAAACAATGGGAACATGAAATAAAAAAAACCCATTAGAGACGACTAAACAAAATAAGGAAAATATAAAATTATATAATATAAATAATAACATACTCAATGAAGTTGTCGTATTCAATAGCTTTGTTCTTTCCACCAGTCTTATCAAACTTGGAAACCAGCAAATCCAAAACAACAGGTGAAACTGCAAACCCTAGACTCATGAGTGCCTCTCTCAGTTCATTCTGATCGATCTTCCCACTGCGATCTCTATCAAATTTCTCAAAATTTGCCTGCAAATATATAAATATAAGAAATTCGATAAGTTTATTGACAAAAAATCTTTAAAAAAACGATAATGGAGAAAGAACTGCATTAAGACTCACCCTCCAATTTTGTAAACTGTAGAACACTTGAGTGAATTCCTTCGGTCCTGATAACACCAGACACCATCAAACATAAATCAATACGAGGGTTAAATAATGTAATTTATTTATTTTTATTTTTCATATTAAAACATTGTCTACTGAAATCTAACTACTTATACCCGACCCAGATTAAAACCCGGTCTTCCTTAACCTGAATACCCCAAAAACCAAAATGCAACTCAGATCGGGGTATCAGTTATTATTATTTTTAATTATAAATAATACATTGTTGAACAATCATTAATTATAAATAATTAGCATATTTTATATACTAGAATAATCATATTGGTATTTTTCCAAACGATACGAGACATAAATAAAATAGTACCACGATTTTAAATTTTAAAAAAGTGTCTGATGTAGATGGTGACTATTGCAGTGAAGTTGTTTATCTAA